GAGTGGAATTGGCATGAGATTCGCACGCTGCTCGCCATCGTCGGGGCATCGACGTTGGCGTACTATGCTGTGCAAGGAAGCGACCCTGGCTACATTACAGAAGGTAGAGAGCATACCACAGCATCCCGATTCACACGCTCCCCCAGCCATGATGCAAACCACCATGGAGAGCGATACCCTTCTCGGAGAAGACGACGACGAGCTCGAGCTGGGTTAGACTGTCACCCTGCATGAAGAGATGAAGGGGTTGCCATCATGACGACTGTGCATCTATTAGGCGGATCGTCGAAAGCACGTTTGATCGAGTATCGCAAGAAGAAGATTGCTGCGATGGAAGCAGCGTTGGCAAAACAGCAAGAGCTTGCGAGTGCGGCCGAGATTGGGGCTCCCGTCGACACGCTCCCTGCACCCACGATGGAGTTCTGCACCGTGTGCCAACTCCAACCTGTACGTCGGATCCGTTCTCGTTGGTGTGGCACTTAGGCCATATATAGCCGCTTCGAGCGTACCATTGCGCGTTTTGCAACCGGTGCGTGGCGACATTCGACCACCACTGCTTCTTCATCGGGTCGTGCGTCGGCGAGAAGAATCACTGCCGATTCTGGTGGTTCCTCCTGCTCACATCGCTCGAGGTGTACTCGTGTCTGGGCGTGGTTTGTATATTCGATCGACTCTCACTTGATATATTTTTCCATGCGTGGCAGGTGCACTCTGGGTTCCACTCGGCCACGAGCCTCCAGGGGTGGCTACAGCTCAACAGCATCGCTCTGGTCGCCGTCCTCTTTTTCTACGTACGCTCAACCGGATCACACTCGTACGATCTCTCATGCACTTGCAGACGTTTGCCGCCACGGCGTACTCGCTGTGTGGATTTCACAGTACGTCCGCGGCGAATCCACCAAAACAAACGTCCCGCACAACCTCGTCTTTGTCTAGCCTTCTTGATGCTCACGAATTCAACGACGCGCGAGCTAGGAAAAGGACCCGACAACCTCGCGTACTTGCGCGGCACTCGTGAATGCGATCTGCCTTTTAGCAACGTACGTGAAGTCGACCGTGGCCCCTGCCGCCATGGATTGACGCAGATGACTGCGACAGGGACTCGTACGCAACTTGGGCGGGTTTTGCTGCCTTCGCGCAGGATGCCCCACTATCCTTCGCCGGCAACCGTGGAGTCCTGCTGCGTGGAAACCTGTCGGGTACACAATTGCCATTGCTTCATGTGGCGCTCACGTATTGGCTGGTGGGTGCAGAAAAATCGAGCGGAATTCGGCCAACATTTGCGACAACTTGTGGGAAAACCAGTATTACAGCTGCTGCTAACGATTCAAAGAGCGACCACAGATTCGAACGACAAGTCTCGATTAGGGGTGGTGGGTACCCCGCTTCTTATGTGATAGTTTGGGTCCCTTCGTGGAATCGATCTGCTTGCCCTTTGACTTGCCGTCTGTCTCGGTCATGAGTTTCGCGTCGGACGCCTTGTCCTTGATTCGTTGACGGACAAACGCCTTGGGCAGCGGGATGTCGTCGTCGCCGACAGCGTCGCGTTGCCGAGTACCAATGCGCACGAGCTCAACGTCGAAAAAGAGCGTGCTATGCGGTGGGATCTTGTCGCCTTTGCCCGCCGCGCCATACGCTAGCTCCGGAGGGATTGTAAGGAGTCGTTTGCCGGAGGGTCGCATCGTTGCCAGCCCTTCTTCCCACCCAGAGATGATGGCGCCTTCGCCAAACTTGACACTCAACATTCCTAAATCGCAACATCCATTCCTATCAGCGCCTCGTTCGCCGAGGACATGCCGGATTCTACCTTTGCCAAACACAGTCCCGCCTTGACCCAATGACCCCTTGTACCGCACCGTCAGCATTTGGCCGGGCTGGGGAAGCTGGCCGCGCCCGAGTTGCGTGTCACGCAGCACGAGACCGCTTGGGCACTTGACGTCGGTACCCAAAGCAGCGTCATATTGAGCCACAAGCGCCTCCCGTTCTGCGAGCGGGAGGACGAGTTGCACGGGCTTTTCTTCCACCAGCAGCGCCAGGTCCTTTGCCGCCGCCTCCTTCTCTCGCTGTTGTTTTTGCAGCTCTCGCTTGGTCTTGTGAGCCGGCTTTGCAGCTGCTTTCTGTTTCTTTGCCTTGACAACGTTGGAGGAGTCCTCGCTAGGTTTTTGCTTCTTGGTTGGGGGAGCAGGTTCGACATCGTCGTTGTCGCTGTCGTCAAAGAGCGCCAGTTTTTTGGATTCGACTGGTAACGACTTCTTGTTGGGCGCGTCGTCCGCGGCTGGTTCAGACGGCGTCGGTGCCACTACAGGGGGAACTTTGCCCAGTTTCTGCTGCTTCTTCTTTCGCTTGAGCGCCGCGCGGCTCATGCCATGACCTTGCGGCCTTTCTTCGACCAGCATGCCGTCCTCCATGCGATCCTTGGCACTCATCATTTGGTGTAAGTCCACTTCGCCCGTTTTGTGCCACGGATGGTCGACGCCCCATGTCTGGTCCGGACGACCATACCCACCGACGCGGACGCGCATGTCAGCAGCAAAGCGACCAGAGCTCGGTCCTCCCAACGTGCGCATGCCCTTCGTGTGTGAGATCACTTCCAAGTTGTCCGCCTCATTACCGCGACGCTTGTCCTTGCCCTTGACCACCACCATCGCGGGAATTGAAGATGGTTGGCGTGGCCCTCGACGCTTCTCATTGGCTCCCCGTTATCCAATCATGCCAATCCATTCGACGAAATATTGAAGTAGTACTTCCTCTGTTACTGCCACCACAAAATTCATATTTGGGCCAAATTTGATACTATCGCAAAANNAGAGAATAAAAAATTGCAGGAAGGGCCCATGGGAATGGAGTCCGAGTGGAAGATTGAGTAGTCAAAATCGACAACGCATTAGCGCCACCAGGTCATATTTAAAAAATAAATTAGGATTAGAATAAAACTACGGGTCTACGGGTCAGAATATACTCTCAAGGCTCCTGACATGAGCTCACCCCAATGTTCGACACGAGACTCTGACTGCGAAGCAATCACCCTTCAAGAACACATGTGTATGGGAAAGCGTTCACGTGGAGCAATCAAAGCAATTGCGACCGTGCGAGGAATATGCAGCCGCTACAAGGATGGCAACTTGACAAGGCAATAGGCAGTCGCGTTGGTCCAAAGCCCAAGCACTCATCGCAGGAGATTAGAGACCTGATACAACAAGTACCTCATCAGCAGCGCAGTACCTTGAGAGACATTGCCGAAGCTACCGGGTTGACCACGTTCGTCCTCAGCCATGCCCTCAATAAAGGAATCGTTCAGCCGCAGGTCGTCGCGCCTGAAGCCCATTCTGACAGAAGTAAATAGACGCGAGCGCCTTGCATGTTCTTTGCAGTCCACGTCAACCTCACTCAAGAGGCCATCGACTCTTACCTAGCCGGTGGCAACACTACTGCCGTCGGTCAAGCTGTCGTTGCCGGCTGCGACAGCTCCCCTAGAAAAAATCGAATGTTACTTTCGAATTTGCCTTCTGGTGCACAGGTGCACCCGTCTCAACTCGAATTTTCTGTGCAGCTATGCCCACCGCTTCCTCTCATGCTTTTCCCCGTGATGCCGCCACCCCGGCGACACCGCGAGTTCCCACTATTGCTTCCCGCAACAGTCGCCGCGATGCCACCCGCGCTGCTGTCAACGACAGCGATGCCACCGCCATCCCGCCTGGCGTCGCAGTTGCCTGTGCGGCTGATGATCGGCCTGATCTCTCCACCAGAGAAGGCGAAACTGCCGGTAGGGCAGTAGGCAGTGGTCAATGCGCCACTGCCACAAGCCTCGACGCCCTCGTTGGAGTGGGCGCCGGCGTAAGCGAGACCTCTACTGGTGCAGGTCCCTCGGATCTTTCAGTGGCTCAGCTTGTCTCCCGTCCCCCCTCTGACTGCTTGAGTTCGTCGTTAACTCAGCAATCGACGGGAGCAGTCGCAGCTATCTCCTCAGGCGATTCTTTGGAATCCAGTGTATTGGTGGGTCCTGCGGAATCCTCTGACCCTGGTTCCATTGGTGTCGCCCGTCGGGTAGCTTCGTCGAGTCGGCTTTGCTCGCTCAAAGAACGCGGGAACTGACCTTATTCTCATGCTGCCCAGCAACTTGTTTCGTCCGAACTTCCCTGCGACAACGCAGGGCCTGCTCCATCGAAACGCCAGCGAGCGCACCCACCGTCACGTTCACTAGATTTATCTATGGACATTGCCATGGGTGTGCTTGCAGAAGCCTCTCAAGCCGAAAATCCTGGTGTGCCGGTTCTTTCTGCCGCTTCTCTTGCCGCATCCGCTGGTCTCGACCCTTCTGCCCCTGCCCAGCAGGATATTCCAGACGGCGATTAGTTGAACTTACTTCCGTCCTCATTGGGACTGGAAATATCTTCAACATATCCCCGTCTGGACACTCCCACCCCGCTCAACCCGCCGACAGCCCTGCTGGCCGCCCGAAAAAGCCAGTTATTGGCCGCTCTTATGAGGGTGCTGCATCTGCCACGAAGATCCCACCACCTAACGTTGACACCCGGCGGCGCGAATGGTACACCACCCACCAACGTGCCGTAAGCGCCCTCCCTAAAGAATTAATTTTTCAAGCGTTTCAGGCGTCGCTGCGTCGCCAGCGATAACTCAGTCCTTGCCTACGTCCAACGCCCCCTTTCAACCTGGCACAAGAAAATCAAGACTCGACTTTTTCCTGTGCCGATTGAAGATTTCAAACTTGATGAAATTCAAGTTACAACCAAGGCTGACTCTGCCAACGCGTCTCGGCACTGGGCGGTCCCCCTGGCAAATCGCTACGAGTTGCTTAGCCTGGACGGCGACCAAGGAATACCCGACTACGACGTCAAGGTACTTTTTAATCCTCAACCTCTGGGGATTAGTATGAAGACGTCACGGCCAAATTTCAAGAATTTGACCAAGCGCATTGCCAATCCCCTCCATGTCGACAACATTTCCAAGGATGATTTAAATTTGCTTCTCAGCGAATTTTGCAAGTCAACCTTGAAGACTTGCAATACGGCGACGATTTTCTCGAAGCCGTACAAGCGCAACCTTCCTTTATCCGTCTTGCACTTGAAGAACCTTGTCTTGCCGACTTCTCGGTGCAGCATGCGACCCAGCATGCGTTCTGCCGCCTACTTGGTCAAGCACGACCATAAGTTTTTACAGTCGCCCGAAAATCCCTTCCGATTGCGCAAGGCCTTGAAGACTGCTGCTGCCGGTTTGAAGTTGCTGCAGGCGACACGCTGTCCCCTACCGCAGCCCTGGAGCGTCTTTGAAAGCAAGAAACTCCGCAATGCTCGGCACAAGACCACGTCCAGCTCGCCCTATGGGACTTATACGCGATGGTGGCTGCTCCATCCGTGTATTTTGACCCTGTCAAGCTGGCACTCCACGTCGAAGACCTGGTCTCTATCGACAGTACAAGGCTGCTGC